AGAGTTGCACCCCCGGATTGTCCTAAACTTTTTAGCTTGAATGTTATATACGATCAAATAACCCTTTTTGATAATGTAAAATATTTAGACATACGATATCATATTGCTTATATTTATATAATAGTGTAATTTTTGTAGTTTTATTTGTAAATAGATATCTATGTTATTATTATCTTGAAATTTTTTTATTGCACTTAAATTATTTCTAATGAACTGAAAGTATTTTTTACCAAACTATTTTTTTTTTCTGATAAAAACTTATTTTTACTGATTTTCTATTTTTTATTAAAATATATTATAAATGAATCTCATTTTAAAGAACTTTTTAAAACGAACTTTATGATGGAAATAGTACTGAGTTAAAAGATATTTATTAAAAGTTATAATTAATTTTGTATATATGAAATATTAGAAGTATATCGATAATAAAACACCATACAACATTTTTATCTAAAAAAAATCTATACAAAATTCGCTTACTTCGCATCCTATGTGTCACAATAATACCTATTTATCGTCTACATGGCTCGACACTTCGCGAAAAACTGGAAAGCCAAGTGTCGATATCTCATGGTCTGACTGCGAGATCGGTTATATATATTAGTGACTAGTTTTGCGCCTGAGCGATGCCCAGATGGTTGATAAAATTTTAAATACGGTCAAATAATTTGTTATGATAATATAGGATATTTAGACATACGATATCATATGTCTTATATTTGTATAATAGTGTATTTTTTGTAGTTTTGTTTGTAAATAGATATTTATATTATTATTGACTTGAAATTATTTTATTAAACTTAAATTATTTTCACTGAATTGAAAGTATTTTTACCAAATTAAAATTATTTTTACCGATTAAAACTTATTTTTACTGATTCTCTAATATTTTTAAATAAATTAAATAACAATGCATTTTTTATGCAGTTAGCCACACCATCTGGATAGACAAAGCAGCCCCTATAAAACTGACCGAGTAACCCCTGTAATACTAACTAAGTAACCTCTAACACTGACTAAGTAACCCCTATCTATAACACTGATTGAGTACCATTATAAAACTAACTAAGTAACCCCTACAACACTAACGAAGTAACTCTTGTAATAGTTGGTGACACAATTTGGCCAACTACGTATAAAAGTCTGTGATTAAACTTATTATAAATGGACCTTATTTTATAGATTTTTTTAAAACTAATTAGATGATGGAAATAGAATTGAGTTATAGGATATTTATTAAAAGTTATGATTAATTTTGTATATCATGAAATATTAGAATTCTATCGATAAAAACTCTATACAACAATTTTATCTTACAAAATCTATCCAAAAAACTCTTACTTAGTACCATATGTATCACAATAATACCTATTTATCCCCTACGTGGTGCGACACTTGGTAAAAAACTGGAATGCTAAGTGTTGCTTTCTCGTAGCCTAGCTGCGAGCCCGACTTTATTTATTAGTGACTAGTTTTGTGCCCGGGCAATGCCTAGATGGTAGATAAAATTTTAAGATAACATTTTTACTTGAATGTTAAATACGGTCAAATAATTCGTTCTGATAATGTAGGATATTTAGACATACGATATCATATGGCTTATATTTATATAATAATAATTTTTGTAGTTTTGTTTGTAAATAGATATCTATGTTATTATTGACTTTAAATTATTTTTATTGAGCTTAAATTATTTTTACTGAACTGAAAGTATTTTGACCAAACTAAAATTAATTTTACTGATTAAAACTTATTTTTACTAATTAATATTTTTTTTAAATAAATTAAATAACAATGCATTTTGTATGCGACTAGCCACACCATCTAGCCGAACAAAAATAACCCTATAAAACTGACCGAGTAACCCCTGTAGTACTAACTGAGTAACATCTAACACTGACTAAGTAACCCCTATCTATAACACTGATTGAGTAACTGCTATAACATTGACCAAGTAACCCCTATAGCACTAACGAAGTAACTCTTGTAATAGTTGGTGACACAGTTTGGCCAACTACGTATATAAATTTGTGATTAAATATAATATAAATGGATCTTATTTTAATTTAAAGAACTTTTTAAAACGACTTTGATGATGGAAATAGAATTGAGTTATAAAATATTTATTAAAAGTTAAGATTAATTTTGTATATATGAAATATTAGAATTTTATCAATAATAAAACTGTATACAACAATTTTATCTTAAAAAATCTATACAAAAATCGCTTACTTAACATCATATGAGTCACAATAATACTTATTTATCTTCTACGTGGCGAGACATTTGATGAAAAACTGAGATGCCAAGTGTCGCTGTCTCGTGGTCTGACTGCGAGACCGGCTTTATTTATTAGTGATATGATATAAATGATATGATATGATAGATAGATAGATTAATGGTAATAATTATATAAATTGATAGAGCTCTTTCCCAAATTAAGGTCAAGAAGAACCGCAATTCCCAAATTGCAGCCAAAGTTTTAAGTTTTCCCATTCTACCGTCCACGTAAGCACTGGTTAAAAAACCGGTTTTTTTTTTTTCCGGTCCAGGGTAAACCGCTACTTGAAGTAGCGGTTTCTTTGCAATAAACCGCCACTTCAAGTAGCGGTTTCTTAGTTTAAAACCGCTACTTGAAGTAGCGGTTTGTTTACAAAAAACCGCTATTTAATGTAGCGGTTTATTTTGGAAAACCGCTACTTCAAGTAGCGGTTTACTTTGAAAAACCGCTACTTGAAGTAGCGATTTACCCTGGACTGGTTTTTTTTTCAAACTTGCATAATCACTCAAAAAAAAACCTGCAAGTTGTGTACCTGTAAAACATGAGATATATAGCATATTTTCAACACAACCACCATAAATAACAAGTTTATGAAGATCTAAGGAAGTCGAAATTGCAAAGTCGAATATTTTTCAATTGATTAAATATAACAAAATCCAATTCTAAGCATTTACAAAAAAATTAGTTTAGTTCCAAAATATACACTTAGCTCGGGCGTTGCTTCTTCCCATGAGGTGACGATGAAGATGATGCAGCTGTCTCCTCTGGAATGTCATCCAGGCCAACTCCAACCCCAGACGTAGTGTTGCTACGCCGTCGGTTTCTCTGATACTGGCGATGCACTAGTGGAGGAGATGTCATGATAGTATGCTGAGAAGGAGTCGGTGGACGGAAGGCACGTGCTGAATGGCCTCCACGATGAGGTGGTGGTCTGATCGGCATAGTGTGCACAGTAGAAGATGAAGACGTGGACGGTCGAGGCTGCTGAATAAGGTGTGACTGCCCCACCCTAGACAAGGTTTGGCCACGAAATGATGTAAAACCCTGCATCGTCTGTATGGCAAATGGTATAGCCGTCTCTGGTGGCAAGTGGGAGATGGTCTCAGTAGCTCCCGATAGCTGGACGTGCAAATCAGCAAATGCATGTGCCTACATTTAAGTGTAGTTTTAATGTTAGTAAAATGAAATCAAAAACGTAAGAACTAGATTGAAATGAAGTGAAGTTCATACAAGCAGGAGGTCAGAGGTAGCTGGCTGGTAATGACTCGGGGGGCGCTCCTGTGAAGGTGGAGTAATGACCAGTCTCGTGATGCGACGGTACCAAGCCATGTACTCTGTCATGGCCGGGGAAGAAGTCCCAGTGAACGGGTATCCCTGGACGACTAATGCCTCTCGTCGACTCCACCCGTGTACATGGTCCGAATGCCGAATCTCCCAATTACGCTGTCCCCTTCGATCCTTCCTGTGTAGAGCAACGTCCATGTCTACATCCTGTGGGATCGGCTGGTCTAACCCGAACTGACGAAGGACTCGGTCTGGGAGGTGGAACTCAACGACGTCAAAGCATATCAGAGGTGCCCGTGAACGCCAAATGTGCATGTCTGAGCGACAAATCTCCGGAAGTCGATCCATCACCGCCTCAGTATATGGCTGCCAAATCATCTAATTCCCAAAACAAGTATGTCAACATGTATATGACTAACATAATGGAAGAAATACAATGCACTAAAAAAAAGAAACACCGATTGTACCTGGTCCTCGCGCTGATGGTCAAACGCATCTCTGTAGTATGGTAGTCCAGAAGCAGTATGCGCACACGATAGATGGACACGTAACCACCTGTAAAGACATGTTAATAATAATTCTTGAAAGATAGAATTGTAAGAACATGAACTTGAAGCAAACATTGTACCTGCACGCCAAAGGGTCAACACCTCGCTGATGCTGACTCCCCAAATTGTCATCCTCATCCTCAGCCTCAGGGTCCTCCTGTGGCGGATCTCGAGGCCTCCTAATGTATGGTCGGCCAATAGTAATATGCTCCCACGACCACAACTGTAGTAGGATGAGCGGGCCTCCAATCTGTCTTGAATCTCGCTGACATCCTCGACATAGCTGCCGATACAAAAAACCAAGAGTCGCACTCCCCCAGCTGTAGGTCGAAGCTGTCCCCCAGTCTCGAAGGAACGGCAAGTAGTAGAGTGACACAGCATCGCCACTCTTGTCGGCGAACAGAATAGATCCCATGAGAGTGAGAATGTAAGCACGGCTATGGCGCTGAACTGTCAAGTCATCAGCTCCCTCTGGCATCTGTGAGAAGTGACGTCTGAGCCACGTCAACTTCAAAGTAGATCCCTCCAGAAACGGCTTACCGTTATCATCATGGCCAGGTCGAACTCCCAGCAACTCCTCAACTAGGTCATGCCATCCCTCAAATGGAGGTCCAATGACAGGAGGGCCGTGCACTCTCAGACCTAACAGGACGGAGACATCCTGTAAAGTAATGGTGGCCTCACCTACCACTAGGTGGAAAGTATGTGTCTCCTGCCTCCACCTCTCAACCAACGCCGTAAGAAGAGATCGATCAAGCAAAAAACCTCCTCCCAAAATCCTATGTACACCGTAAAACCCAGCAAGCCTAACGTACTCTAGTACTCCGCCATCTACCCTCCACTCACGTCCCACGCTGACCATATGCTCCCTAACTGAGAGAACTCTATCAGCTACGCCACTCCAAACATCGTGGCTCCTATGGGAAGTCTGCAAGCGTAAATTTTGACGACACTTTTAAATTTTGAGTTCACATTAGAAGCCAAGTGTCGTATACAGTACTTGTGGTAGGCATTGGGCTCCTCCCAACCACTTCCAACTTCTTCCATTGCTGCTAAAATACCAGCATGTCTGTCAGATATCACACATAGCCCTTTCCTATCTGTAACTCGAGCACGAATACAAGCCATGAACCAAGACCAACTATCATTGTTCTCTCCTTCGACAACCGCAAAAGCAAGGGGGAATAGTTGAAAATTGGCATCCGTTCCCATAGCAATGAGTAGAGTGCCTTTGTATTTGCCATATAAATGAGTGCCATCAATGGTGATAAGGGGTCTGCAGTGACGGAATCCATCAATACATGGCTTGAATGCCCAAAAGACTCGTTGAAAAACATGTGTTCCAGGAACCGTACACTCTAACAACCTCCACTCAACAACAGTTCCAGGATTTGATTCCTTGAGAGCTTGCATGTACTTAGGCAACTGTTCATATGAACCCTCCCAATCCCCATAAATGAGTTTTATTGCCTTTTGTTTCGCTAGCCATGCTCTCTTGTAGGTTATTTGGAATCCATCAAATTTCTCTTTCACAAGTTGCACCATTGTCTTGATTTTCAATGAAGGATCAACGCGAATGACATCTAGAAGAGCATTGCAAACAAACTCGGAAGTCAGTAGCTTATGATCTCCCGAGTCGATGTCACCAACACAGTTACTTGCATGAGGGCCGTTGTACCTCACAATTTTAAACGTAGAGAGTGTTGGATCTTTCACTCCTCTAAGCCTCCACGAACAACTACATTGTTCTTTCCTCTTGCACTCAACAACATATTTCTCTGGCTCTGCCTCCACAACTCGAATTGTTTGATTTCTAGCTATGGAGTAAGATTTCACAGCATCTTTCAGTTGTTGCAATGAGTCAAACTGCTGACCAACCTCAAATTCTCCCCCATTGTTATATGTCTCATTTCCTAACCAAGACATCCATGAGTTATTCAAACGAGGATCAACTTGCGCCACTTCATTGAAGTCTGAAGTGGGGGCGCTTCCTTTAATTGCCTTATCACGAGCTTCAATTACCTCTTCATCATCATCTTCATCAGTGTCATTCATCTCTGCATCGCCAAATACATCAACATTGTTTGGGTCAAGAGAATCAAGAATGCCTTGTGGTTGTGTGCTTGTCGAGGTTCCAACATTAGGCGATGAGGCCGGAGACCTAAACTGTGAGAGATGGTCATTGACATAATGTGGATCAACAAGCATTCTTGTGAATGACCCTATGCCCACACTTTGAACACCAGTGGAAAACGGTTGATCCACACTACCAAAAAAATCCATCCCCGGAAAGGAACCAGTGTTAGTTTGCACAACTGGCTCCTTTGGAACTTGTTCAATGAACAATTGCATTGCAACAGAAGAACTCTGAGTCACAGCAATCCACATAGCTCTAACAGCGTTGTCGTCATTTAACGGAATTGCAACATATGCCCCAGCCATAGGATAACGCATAACCACCTTCAACTCCACACCTCTAGGATCAACACTCAATTCTTCATATAGCTTGTTCAGAACTTGTGAATATGTCATCGCAGAATGTACAAACACAAATTTTTGATTCCCACCCCTATACGTTATATCGCTATCTTTGTGGACAATTTCTCCACCCCAATAGCAATATAGAGGGTAGTTCGGAACCTCCATGTTTCATTCTAGAAAAGACCATTATTAATCAAAGATATTAGATTGCAAAAATTCATTAACAGTGTGGCAATGTCCTAACATCAAGCAAGCAAACTACACAATTATAGCAACCTAAACTGAGCTATGAAGGTCTTAATACCTCTTGAAGCTCAACATGGGCATAAGTCATGACTACATGTACTTTGAGCTCATGTACTTTGTGTATAGAAGCTCTATTTTCACTTTCAAAATCAGCAATTATGGCAACCTAAACTGAGTAATGTGATCGAAACCATTAATAATTCTACAAGGGTTATATGTAAGGTAAGTAAATCAACAACAACAACCAAAACCAACCACAAACATACATACAATTCTGAAACTCAATAACAACAACAATAAACAAGAACACTAACAACAACAACACAACCAAAACCGAAACTCAATAACAACAACAATAAACAAGAACACTAACAACAACAACACAACCAAAACCAACAACAACAACACATACATACAATTCTGAAACTCAATAACAACAACAAACTCAATAACAACAACAAACCCAATAACTGAATACAAAAAATAATTAGGGCACTTACCACAAACAAGAAGATCAGCACGTTTCTTCTGAAATTAGCGAAGCCGACCACTAAAGTCGAACCCTCGGCGTCAACAGCGGCGGCCTTCGTTGCTGAGGAATGCTCCGGCGGCGTCGGTGGATTCCTTGGCTGCGCCGACTTCCGTTGAAGGAGGTGTGATTTTGGTGGAAGGCGTGGATGGGATTTTGGTGAGAAGACGAAAATGAAAGAGGAAAGTGAAATCGGGAAATTATACCTGCTAGAAAACCGCTACTTGAAGTAGCGGTTTATTAAAAAAAAAACCGCTACTTGAAGTAGCGGTTTATTAAAAAGAAACCGCTACCTGAAGTAGCGGTTTATTAGTAAAAACCGCTGCTTCAGGTAGCGGTTTTGCTGTAGACCGGATTTAAAATTTCTTCCCCCTGAACCGGTGACGTGGACGGTACTTTGGGAATTCTTAAAACTTTGGCTGCAATTTGGGAATTGCGGTTCTTCTTGACTTTAATTTGGGAAAGAGTTCAAATTGATAACCATAAAGTTGAAACAACTGTTTTTATATTACAGAGTTGAATGTGTGTCTTTTTATACGGAGGAGGGAGGACTAGTGGTTGTGTTCTTTAAAAAAGCCAGTGGAATATTTGCCCAGTCACTCTGGCGTACGATCGCTCATTCGCTCCTGCCACTGTAATAGCTTGGGGCGACGATAATGGAGGTTTTACCGACGATCATGGTAACCAACGACGATGGTATCGACGCTCCTGGCTTGCGAGCATTAGTGCGCGTCCTTGTCTCCACCAATCTTTACCATGTTCGAGTTTGTGCACCTGATTCGTATGTTCTTCACTTTTTTGTTTTATCTTCAATTTCCTATTAATTCTCTGCAATTTTAATATATTATCTTCAAAATTAAGATTGCTGTTATGTTAATTCTACTGCCGAATGTTGATTTGATAATTGCATTTCTGAATTTGAGCAATAGAAAAGGAATTTTGCCATTGAAATAGAAAATTAACTGAAGAAATTGTTTCTATTTGAGTTTGGGGATGTCGTTACATCTAATTGTTAGAAGAATAGAAGAAAAAAAATAAAAGAAATAATTCGTTAATTACAACTTTGTTATTTTACGTTTTCGAATTTGTTCCGGGTGACCGGTAATGGTTTATCACCTAACAGGGTACCTGCACAGTCAACGCAGATTAGCTGCCCTTGGGGTTTATCCGATGATAACCGCTCCGATGCTAAAGTTAGCAAAATGGAAGATATGAGTAAAATAGATGGTTTAAGAGTGTTTTGGTTAAGAAAAATCGTATCTTAAGAGTGAGTTATGCTTGGGTATTTATAGAAATCCCCAAGCTGGTGCCACGTGTTGGTTCACGTAGCGGGTATGTCAAGTGGACGGTGGGTGTCCACATGGTGGGAAGCAGCTCCACGTGACCGACTTCGGAAGCTGATATGGGTTATATGCCGGTATACGAAATGATCCAAAAGACAGGATCCAATATAATATCGGTGTCGGTACCATCCCATACAAAATTAAAATTGTACTCCGATGATTTGCTAACTCTAGAAACAAAATTATTTAAAACTTGAATAATTGATTTTTTTATTTTTATTTTTCTTATATTTTTTTTTTAGAGATTGATGAAGCATTATTCTTATCAGATTAGTTTTTGTACTGGTCTGAATTCGATGACAATCAGCCTAAGCTTTTAATGTGGTTGGTCTTGCATGGTACACTTGCTTAAAAGATCAAAAGAATTAAAATCATAGCCATTAGTTTAAACTTTTGATTATTGCGTTTTCTTACGGTTACCTTTAATATGTTGGCTTGCTGGTCTTGAATCAGTTACCGACCTTACCTTTGCTCAGTTATCGGAGTGTTAAATAGGAAGTACATATTACAGTGAGTCACTGACAATTGAAAACAGATAATCCCATCACATAGACCACATTGTACGCTTGGTAGTGATTTTTCTGTAATACCTTATCTATCATTCGTCATCCTATGGTCATTCGTCTTCCTATGATCGAGTCTTTAGGTAATTTATTTAGTTTTGTTATGTTGATACACGTCTAAACCAAGCCAAAGCCTTTGTTGCCTTTACATAAAAAGGAATTAAGATTGAAGTATTGAACCAAGCAATTTGAATTTGATTAAACAATCCAATTTGTAAGCGACTTGATAATCATCAGTAAACATAGTTTGACTATTAATTGGATTGTTTAATTTAATTCAAATTACTTTGTCCAACTGTTTGACTATAACTATATAGTTATAGCTTATAGTGAAACTTACAATTTAAACATTCTTTATTGATAAATAAGCTTTAAAATTTGTAACTCCAATCATTATAATTTTGATAAATGAAAGCAAGTAGCAACTAGCAAAGCTACAATTCTAGTTAGCTAATATGGAGTAATTAATATAAACTAACCAGTATAATTTTAGAGTTCATAATGAAGTAACCGCACTTATAGATAGAGCACACAATTTTATTTGATACAGAGTATAATACTACATGAGTTGTTGACTTCCATTTAATACTTTGGTTGCCATTTAGGAGTCGGTAAAAGTTTTTAGAACTTATTCCACAATCTTTTAAAGCATTGTGAATTTGAGATAACAAATCTGAGTTAAAACAAGTTGTTAACAATATTATGAAATGAATTATTAAAGAGCTATAGATTGTTTGTGAAGATTAATGAGCTGAACACAAAGGTGTTGGAGCTGGACTTGTTTACCACAAGCCTATAAATTTTGTTCGGGCTTTATCATATAAAAGTGCTTAATAAAGGAGTTTTGACCAATACTCAAAGTATTAGCTAATTTGCAGCCTTAGCTATGAAGAGTTGAACTGTTGAAGATTCTTGCTGTTCAGCAAATGCTTTTACTTGCTTTTGGTTAGCTGTTTAATTCCCAAACTTGCAGATTTGAACCAACATCCACCATATTATTGTGGGCTTGATCCTTGCAATAGTTATTTCAGAAGGGCGTTCTAGTTTTTATCACCTTTTCCTGTAACAAAAAACCCTTTGAAAAGTTTCGAATATTTTTATTTGTACTTTCTGCCTTTCTGGCAATGTGAAAGGAGGCCCAATTGGATAAGTTGAAGAATATAGTAAAAGAAGCTACCATTGTTCGAGCTCTATCAACTTTCTTATCAGGTCTTAGGCGTTATATCATGTAAATTTATCAGTTCAATTTGCTTGATATCATAATACGCAAACACTCTAGTATGTTATTGAAATTGTCCTCCCTAATAACACTTTTTATGGTGCTTTTGATTTGTTGATTAAGCTATTCCTCTTACGAACCTATAATTTTTAAAATTAAAAGAAATCTTTTAGGCAATAAAACTCAGGTTAGGCTTTGTTATGTTTGGTTTATTCTGTCTGAACTTATCTAATATTTTGTTTTAATTTGTATATGAGCTTTTTATGTTTGAACTTATCTTAACTTATTTTGTTTAAATAAGTTTCAGTCATTTCCTATAAGAGTTTTAACTTTGAGCTTGTGACTATCTTTTAATTCTATATCACAATTATTTATATGCCCATTCCCCTATCAATAGGTTTTCAATAATCCTCTTCATTTGCAAGGACAACTTTGTTATAGAATTGTTACTTCCATAGCCGTTCCTCTCCAATCTTCTAGCCTACTACACTTAGGGGTTGTTTGCTACAAACATTGTAAATGGAATGTGTTAGAAAAATAACTATGGTGAATGAAGAATTAGGGACGTGTTTACACTATCCTTAAATCAATTTTAACCCCCACTATGATTGCTATGGGTTTCGTTTAATATGCTTCCAGGATTTCCCAAAGGAACGAGATCCACTATAGCAACGTAATTGAAACTCCCTAAGAAGTAAGAACACTTCGAAAAAGGATAAGAAAAATAGAAAGAAGAATCATTGAACTTGTTTTAGTCAAGAGTCGCAATTTCCTAACTTAATTAACCAAGATAATCTAATTTTCTAATGATTAGACACGATTATCTTCCTTAATTATTCGTAGGAAACTACCGGTTGCACACTTGCTTGATCGGGCTAAGCCCGTTCGGTCGAGCGAATAATTTGACGGAGAGCAATTAGACTTGCGCCCGATCGGGCTAAGCTCGCCCGGTTGGGCAAATTAACTAACAAAAGTCCAACTAAACGCGCTCCAGATTGGGCCTTACAACCATCAAGAAACAAGTTTGGGTTCACGCCCAGTTAGGCTAACGTAGTCCGATCAGGCGATCAAACCATCCATTTTCTAAATATGTTGCACGCCCTACGATCGGGCTAACTTAGCCCAATTGGGCCCGTAGTCAAAGTCCTTGACTTCCGATAAAAATTGTTAATGCTCCAAATAGTCAAACTTATACATTTGCTCCAAGCTATACTTCCTCTGTTTCACCAATGTGGGTCTTCCTTCCCAACATCAAGTTAAATAGAATAAGCTAATTTCTTCTGTTCTACCAATGTGAGACTTCTCAACATCAAGCTATATAGACTAAACTGTATAAACCAACTTCTATTCTACCAATTTGGGGCTTATTTGCCATTATTAAATAACACCTTATGAAGATTATTCTAACAATCCCCCACTTGATCTTCAAAACTGGTGTATGTTCTTAACCAACAAAATAAATTATGCATCGGTGAAGGTATCTTATCGATTTGAACCTCCACATTGTGTAAACTTTCAAAGTAACAATAAAATAAATGGTAGCATGTAGCTTTGAACCATAATCTTATACACACAACATTGTTAAACCAAATGTTCTTAGAATTGGTAGCACTATTTTGCCCATGTGCTCATCCTTGTATTCATGAACATCTCCAAAAGTAAAATATACTTTTGCTAGGAATGACACCATTCCTCTATGCTCATATAGGTAAAGTACAAAAAATAACCTTTGAAATTTCATTAGGAGTCTAAAACTCACCCTTACATATTTGTCGATTGTACTCAACAATAATCAATATATCATCTACAAACAACTTGTTGCTACCACATTGAATCTTTAATATAGGGGTAGTATTATAGGAAAGGTTGGGTTTCCATTGTAATTGGTCAAATAATTGGTTTTAAACCAATTTTCTTGGACATTGTATGCACCATGTCCCTTAGTAATCCTTTTGTAAAAGCATCCGCCAAATTATTACAAGATCGTACATACACAACAATTATTATCCCATTTGATATTAAGTGACATACATATGCATTTCTTAAACTAATATATCTAGATTTCCCATTATAAATCTTATTATAAGCTCTGGACAAAGTAGCTTCACTATCACAGTTCAAAGAAACGGCTGACATCTGTTGTGGCCACAACTCTATATATAATAACATGTTCTTCAACCATTCTGCTTGTTTCCTTGATGCTACTAAGGCTAAAAATTCAGCCTCCATGGTGGAATGAGTAATACAAGTCTATTTCTTTGAACCCCAAGAAACAACACCTCCACCAATCATAAAAACCCACCCACTAGTAGATTTATTATCACCGGTACTAGTAATCCAACTAGCATTCGAAAAATCCTCGACAGATGGAAATTTATTATAATGCAAACTAAGATTTTTGGTTCTTTTTAAGAAACCAAAACTTTACCAATAGCTTTCCAAGGTTCAACACTAAGATTGCTAGTAAATCTAGAAAGTTTGCAATACAATATTGGGCCTAGTACAATGTGATATATACATAAATTACCTATTGCACTTGTATACTCAGTTGAGTGTTAGGAACTGTCATAGATTCCAACACTAAAAATGACAGAAAATAAGAAGAAAAATGGTGATTATAGTGATAAGATGAGAATTGCACTAATTTAAACGATAATTCCACTTTTGAGAGGTGGATTCTCTCCCAATATGAGCTTTTGCGAGGCTCACTCTCTCCCAATAACAAACCTCACAATATTCAACATATTCTTATTCTTCCTAATGAGACCTATTTATAGAAAATCCCTCATAACAAACCTCTAATTTATTCCCCTAAATATTGATTCCTTACAAAGCAGTTTTCATAATAGGTGTTATTTAATGATGGGAAATAAGTCCTACATTAGTAGAATATAAGTTGGTTTATATAGTTTAGTCTACATAGCTTGATGTTGGGAAGGAAGTCCTACATTGGTAGAATAGAAGAAGTTAGCTTATTCTATTTAACTTGATGTTGGGAAGGAAGTCCCACATTCAGAGCAAGTGTTTAAGTTTAAATATTTGGAGCATGAACAATTTTCATTGAAAGTTAGGACTTCGACCACGGGCCCGATCGGGTGCGACATATCCAGAAATTGGATAGTTTTATTGCTCGATCGGGCTGCGTTAGCCTGATCGGTGCGAAGCAAAACTTGTTTTCTGATGGTTGTAAAGCCCGATTGAGCGGGCATCGTGTTGGACTTTTGTTAGTTAATTTGCTGGACTTGGGGGGTTTAGCCGATTGGGCATGTGAGTAATTCTCGACCGGGCGGGCGAGTGTGCAACCAGTAGTTTCCTACTAATAATTAAGGAAGTTAATCGAGCCTATTCATTAGAAAATCAGATTATCTTAATTAATTAAGTTAGGAAATGGGGACTCTTGACTAAAACAAGTTTAAACTTTATAAGTATTCATGGTCTCCAATTATAACTTAAGTCAAAATTTTCTTTGTATTTTTTTTATTCTATTCTCACTGTTCATAAGTGTTCTTAGGGAGTTTCAATTACGTTGCTACAATTGATCTCGTTACTTAAGGAAACCTTTGGAAGCATATTAACCAAAACCCATAGCAATCATAGTGGTGGTCAAAATTGCATTAAGGATAATGTAAAGACGACCCCTAATTCTTCATTCCCCCATAGTTATTCTTCTAACAATCTTAAAGCAATTTTGGTGGTCAAAATTGCTTTAAGGATAATGTAAAGATGTCTCCTAATTCTTCATTCCCCATAGTTATTCTTCTAACAATCTTAAAGCAATTTTAAATTTCTGTCATGGAGAATGTCATGAAGAGTGTTGGTGACGCTGGAAAACTTGATTGATTTGATAGTTCCAATTTTACTCGATGGAAAGAGACCATGAAGTTCTTTCTCATCACCATGAAGTTCTTGATGTTGATTTTAAGCCCATTCCTGAATGGACTGAAGATGAAATTGATGTTGTGAAGGCTGAACGCAAAAAGTGTGTTGAAGATGAAATTGATGTTGAGGACGAGGCACTATGCAACCCTCTGTGAATCATCTTTCAGATCGCCATGATCTCTACATACCGATGAAGAATCCAAAGGAAATCTGGGACTCTTTGGAAATATATTACAATTCGGAAAGCAAGGGGTAGATAGGTTTATTACTATGCAATTTTTGAATTTACCATGAATGATTCTTCTTCTGTATTAGACTTAGTGCATGAATTTCTTATAGCCTCTAAATTTAAGGATTTTGCTATAACCATTCCGGAACAACTCTTTGTGTGGTGGGTGGGGGGGGGGGGGTGGGGATAAATGCAAATTACCTGCTAGTTGGAATGATTATAGGAAGAATTTGCATACTTCTAAGGATTATACTTTGGAACAAATTCAGAAACATTTACAAATTGAAGAGGAAACTCGAAACCATGATAAGAATTCTGATAATAGTTCTACTTCCAAAGTAAATTATGTAAGTAATGATCAGAAGGGGGGAGGCAAGAAAAGAAAGGCTAATAGAAATGGAAAAGATTTACACTAACTTCTAATATTTCAGCACAACATAAATTTGACTTGAAACCAAACCCGACCCATTGACCCATATTGCGTCCCCTAACAACCATTTTCCTTTATTCATCCAATATCCTATCTCTTATGAAGGTCTTGCCTAATCCAATGTATTGGATGCTCTACTGTTAAATTATGTGAAAGACTTTTCTTTAAGAAATCTCTGTAAAAATGGAGTATAATTGAAGAAACATTAAGTTTGTGTTTGCTGATCTTGCTTGATATGTGGCTGTGGAAAGTTTAAATTAAGGTATACAATTCTCTATGTATGTATCCTTTGTTGTTACATTATACGAATGCTTGGTAGCTTATTTATTTAGGAAACACTCAGTTTTTTCCTAGTTGGACATAAAGGTCTTCTAGTAGTCTTTTCTGTTACATCCTTGATTTGGAAGTTCATGGTTTAACTATTGAAGATTATTATACTATACCATAAATTATTTGTTTAGTGTTCTATGCAGTATGCATTTATGCACTATTACCCTTTTAAGGAACTGAAAATGATTATATAACCTGTTTTTAAGAGTTTGTCCAAAGAAGGTTACTGTGCTCATCATTCGCATTCTACCTTTTGCTTATGGTCGTAATGACCAGTGTTTGAAAAGGCGCGCCCAGGCGTTGAGACGCAAGGCGTTAGGGGTCATGTGTTTTTTGTGGTCTAGGCAAGATGATTTCGAAGAGGTGCAGGTAAGGCACACAGAGGCGCGCCTAGGCACACCCTTGAGGCGCACACAGATTTTTTCAGAATTATTTTTATTGATAATATTCGCCTCACTTCAATGAGGTGCACCGAGGAGCGCCTTAGGAGCAAGGAACTCTGAAACGCCTTGGTGCGCCTTGAGCCTTTTTATACATTGATAACGTCTTGCCGGTCATGGCTTGAGCTATTGTTGGGCTGTTAATCTGGATAGACTAAGGATTAATTCTGTGATGTACAATTTACTTTATGATATAAGATTCCATAGCTTTTCAGTGACATCCAAACATATTGCTAATTAGACTATTGTTTTCGATTGCTTCATATTAGTAAAGTAGTAACACACTGGTGCTTACAGGGAAAAATCAGCTGTAAGCCATGGGATCACTTGGCGTCATCCTATTGCTGCCAAGAAAGTGGAGATCGAGGGTGCCACAGCTTTTGCAGTTGCAGGTTCCATTTTGCTCTTAAGATAGTTCTGCTTTATTTACTAGTTAATTAGTTGGTTTCCGACCTTTTCGTCTTTCATTTTCTCTGATATTGCCCCTCACTGGGCCATAAAAAGTCGCATCTGTTGAAGCTTTGTTTAAAATCCTATGTTGACTGTATTTATATGGAATCAACTATCAAGTCTCCCGTTTATTTATTTAATTTTTTTTAAAGGTAAGATAACAAGTATTGGGTTTCCTTATCTGAGGTATTGACTTGCACAAATTCTGATACAAAGGCCAACTAAAAAGAGACAATAACATTAGATAACTTAATAAGGGCTATTACAGGGTAAATGTAGCTGACCAGAGTCTTATGTAAGGCCTCATCTACTGAAATTGGTCAACTTAGAAATTGATCTAATTACTTAAGGATGTACACTACAAATTGTTCAGGCATGTCGTAAACTGATAAGTATTTTTTTGTTTTTTAGAATGCCAGTTTATGGGTAAATGAGGCAATCAGGATCAATGAGTATCTGGTTTAATTTTGTAGATAGGGCAGATTTTGCTCCACTTGCTGTTTTATTTGGTGCTCATGAGTCATGCGTGGCTGGTTGATGCTTGCATAAGCATTCATACTAGAATTTCATGCTTACCAAACATAATTTTTGCTTGATAATTGTTATATTTAGTAAAGACACTAATGGTAATGATGCTTACTTCTTGCAGGCACGCCAGCAGATTGTTCTTCTTTGGGAATCTCAGATGCTCTGTTTCCATCAGTTCCGGATCTGGTATAACTTAAAATCTCTTTCTAAATAGTTTTTACACATGAGCTTTACTTTCAAAATCCAAGGAAAATTGTGGAAAAATGTGGAAATCTAAACTTCATTTATGAGTTTTGATAATTTTCCTCATTAAACTAGCCAAACTATGGATCCTCATCAAACTAATTAAACAAAGGAAAAGTAGGTAAAATAGTTCATTCTTCAGTAGTTTTGCTCAAACAATCAAACAAGTGAAAACAAGTAATTTCTACAGTCTTGCTTTTCTACATATTTCCATAAATTTACTTTTCCATTAAATTTCTACTACTTAAAGTCCAAAATAAAATTGTTATTGATTGGTGGGCTGGTTATGTTGGAAACAGAGGCCAAGTTTGCATCTTTGAGTTTTTTGAAGTATTAATTTTTAGATATTAGAAGACATGATTGATTTACAATTTGCATTTTTTTCTTCTTCTCTATCTCACATTGTCACTTCTCAATTTTCGAAAATAAGTGTCTTGACATGCCAATAAGCATTTCAAGTTAAGGGTAAAGTAAAAGGTTTTAGACAAAGATGGTAAAAGGACAACACCATGGATTGACTAAACAAATACAGCGTTTCCTTTTCTAATTGGATTTCCTTTTGGAATGTCCCAGATTTAGGTGAATATCTACTGTTAAACTTAAGCTATAGTTGGGGTCCTTGCCTCCTTAGGCCCACATGGCCACACCTACCCACCCTCTCACTTTTTACCTCTACTTTCTCTTTCCTTAATCTTTGTGCAAAAATTAGATGTTACCTTGAATATGGAATGAAGGTAGTACTTTTTATGTATATCTTGGAACCAGCCTTGGCAACAATGATGAGATTGTTGATAACTAATTTTTCTATAAAATGAAGTGGAAACTGCTCTCATGCATCTCCAATACAAATTAAATCACTTTTTATCGGGTGGTTGTGGTAAAGAGAAATAGGTTTTTTGAACCATTGAATCTTCTTGCAAGTTGGCAATATTATGCTATTTACCCGATTGTACCTTTTTTTTAATTTTTATTTTTATTGAGAGAAACTCCCAAATGAATTTTAGCCAGTGCATCCCTCCTTCCCTCTTTCCCTGAGAAGACCTTTATTATCTCAGTTATTGAAAGTTGATATGTTGACTTTTTATTTGCATTAGTCATTTATCTCAGATTTGGCCAACTCTTTTTATGTTTGCTTGCAGGTACTTAGTGGCATAAATATGGGAAGTAACTGTGGTTATCATATGTAAGTTGTTGCCATGGACTATGCAGCTTTTTTCTACTGTTGTTCTAACTTCTACGCAGCTTAAAATTTTCAGATCTCATCCAGTCAAACATAGGGCATAGTGGCATACCTTTCTAGTGCATAAACTCAAAGTTTTATGTTATACTGTATGAATTGGTGGCAGAAAACTGGTCCGACATTTATTTTTCTTAAGAAGATGAGAGAATGCCTTTGATGATCTAGATTGGATGTTGATGCTTGAAAATTGGTGTCGGATTTGATGCTTAAATATGTTGCCCTTCCTAGTCTTTCGTAGTCTCATCTCTATATGTGGATCTAAGGAGGTAGTGGATGACTAATCTTGGAGATACTTGGTGCAGCTGCTTTGTCAGAGGCTAGAGCTTCAATTTGGTGAATCTATTTGATGAAGATTTGGTGTGTTGCACTAGTGCACATCATAGACCATTGGATTATTTTGAGTTAATTAGGGTACCATATGTAGTTCCTAGTCACTGTTTTGTAGCTCTGTTTCTCACAGAAATTGTAAGTTTGTTCATGATGGTAGTTTGGCTGTGCACGATGTGAGATAGAATCTTAGTCATTCTGCATTTGGTGATTAGAATTTTCTTCTTGATTATAAAAACCGTATGATACAAAAACATCCGAACAAGGCTAAAAACTGTATTCTATCCATCGGGGTCTTGTAACCTGTACATCTATCCAGCAAAAGCCTATTATTCTTCTGCAGCCTCAAAACCTATATACTGGTTAGGCATGTCAATCACTTTAGAAGCTTTCTCATTTTATTCCATTCAGCTCTCAAATGTAAAGTGCAGATGATATAGAATAGAGGGCTAGCTATCAGTCCAACAAAAAGTGATTTTCCTGTTTCACAAGGCCTAAGGAACATTACATACACCCAAACATTTGAAAATGCACTCATTAGGGTGGTGAATTTGAAGATTGTCATTTGTGCTATACCTAGCCTAGTATGCTATAATGCTATGTATGCAAAGACTTTACCTTCTCCAAGACCTTAAATTTCTGAATAACAGGTTTCTAGAGATTGGACAAACTTGTGATAGATATTTACGAACAAGAATAGAGAGATTACAAGAGAAAGGACCTGTTAATCTACCATGCATAGCCTTTTATTTGGAGAATGGGAATAGGCACTATCTACACAAGCCCAACGAATTACCTAATTTACCCAACTTCCACTTTTGGGGATTAAGTTCTATAAAAGGAGATCATGTTAATTGTTAAGTGCCAGTAATAAAGGTGAAGTAAAGGGCCTTCCCTTTTCTGAGATGCCTCCTCAAGTATGATTTAGTACCCAAACCAACTTTAAACCTGATTATGGGGAGAGCAAAGATGACTTATAGCATACACTTAATTGGCCTAGTCTTCGTTATGTGCTCTATGTTTGTGTAGAGACCATGCCTACTTTTGATCACTTGATAGCTGATACTAGACCTTTTTAATGGATAGGGTAGCCCAATGGGTATAAGGTTAGGATTGAGTTAAAATGGCTTATGTGTTGACAAGGTTATGATGGCTTGTTTTTTTGTTAACATAGGGCTAAAATGATAACCCTATGATTTTGTAGTTGTGGTCACTTTGTCTTACTTCGTTTCAATAGTTCCTTATTCGTTTGTTGGCTTGCCCACTATTGACCTGCCACGTGTTTGATGCGACCTATTTCACCTTTATAAGGTGACCCACTTGTGAATCAACTTGGCACACCCAACCATAAGTCATAGTTCGAGCGTTTTGACACTTGATCATGTGAAGCACTCTTACTTATTATCCGACAAGGGTATAAGCCTTGTGGAAAAAGGTTTGTATGCAATGTAGTGACATCAGCAAACATTTGATTTTAGAAGGGACACTCTTGCTTATTGGTTATTGAAAGACATGGGTCAATCGCGTGAAAATTATATTGAAACTTTAATGAGTTATGGTTGCTTTACAATGAGTGGAAACACAAAATTTGTTGGTGTACCAACAAAACACAAGCATTGAAGCAACATAAAACAGGGTAGGAAGCTTTAATTCTCATTCACTAATTATCACTCCCTAGATAGCTTTTGGAACTACAAAAAATTCCTAGTGAATATTAAATTCCTAGAGTACCTTAAGAAAGTCCTAGAAAGCATTACATAAGGAAATCCAAGGAACTCAAGGATGGATTCTAATGCTAGGTCTGGTTGATACCATAAGGAATTTGGCACAAGAGGAAATTTTTAATTTTTAATTTTTTTTAAATTTTATTTTATTTTTTTCCATTACATCATGAAGATGTTTTTGATAGTAATTTAGTAAGAGCTAATCTCCCTCCTCCTCAAGCGATCAGATGTTACACAAAATTAGATGACCCTTTCTCTCCTTTCTCACCCCCAAACAAAAGAATATCTCTAAGTATTTTAATAATCTCTTAAATATAGAATGCTAGAGTGACAAGAGTTATGAGACTAAATACGGGAAATACAACCCTCTTAGAGAATACGAGTACTCTTCATCCAAGAAGCTTCCTCAATCAGCAAGTTAAGAAAAAAGTGCCCTTAAGATTAGTCTTTCTAAAGGAAAACTATAGTAAGAGGAAGACTTTTAAAAGGGCCATAAACATATCAAGTGTGGATTGCTTCAGATCAATCCTTGAACTACCACACTTACATAAGTTAATCTTAACCCCGCAATGATGTCTAATAAACATGCTTAATTGTTAATACTTTTCTAATTTTGGGCATGTTATGCAAGTGGAAAAAGATCGAACAATTGGCAAATGGTAGGTGTGAGAAATAAATATTACCTTCATATCCTAAAACACTCAAAGATACATGTTTGGTGCTATGGAGCTAGACCAATGAGCAATTACACAACCTAAGCTCTCTTCCCTATTCCTATAAAAGAGATGAGGAAAAATTGAGAAAAGTAAAGAGGAGGGTGAGGAAAGGAAGAAGGTAATATGAATAATTTTGTTATTTCTAGCGTAAGTGCAATTTTTTAAAAATAATTTAAAGCTTATTCCTAGGGTGTTTCATTTGGCTCGTAAATTTGGTGTGTTGTAATCAGGAAACTATGGCTTTCTTATTCTTCTATTAGGCTACCTAGAGGAATCAACAATGATTGAATATTGAACTTTGATTTCAATCAGTATCCATCATTTTGGTTACAAACAAAGTTGTGATGTGTAAACCCCATCATTGATGATTATGGACTTTATGGAGTCATCATTGTAGAACAGTAATATGTTCCTTTTCTCCAGTCACCCACCTGCCATCATCTTATATTTCGTAGGTCACCTTTAGCCTAGGAATGGAAACGGGTCGGATTCGGGTCGGACCCTACAATGTCCGAATTCGATCCGATTAACAAATAAATCTTATATTCACCTTCGAGTCCGCCTCCGAATCCGAACCAACCGCATCCGAATCCGCTTCAATAGGAGTCTTAGGACCTCCGAACTCGAATTCGGCAAATTTCAATAGCATTTGGTGAATTTTTTTTTTTTTTTTTTTTTTTTTTTCCCAATATCTTTGAAGGTTTAATTCAACACAAGAAAATGGTGTTAAATTAAAAATGAAACATAAAGGTGAAAGAAAAACATGAGCTTGTGATAATTTGTTATCGAATTTGTTAAATTTACAAAACAATATGTAACATAAACAATCAAATCTTCAAAATTCAGATCTTAAAAATGAGTACAAACTATTTACATCAAAATCTAGATCGAAACTTAAGAAGATGTGTAGGCTTTGATATTTGAGTCTTCAAATTATTATTATCTTTGGCGTTGCCAACTGGTAGTATGTAGGTGAAGCAAGAGTATGAGTAATGAGGGATGTTATCATGAGTATTGAGTAATGAGGGTCTGTTTTCAATAAAAATTAAGGAGAGAGAATGAGATGGGGTAAGAGAAAGAGAGAGAAAATGAAACAAAGGAGGAATGAGGCGGCAATTAGATTTGTAGGATTTCCAATTGGGCTTTTACAACAAGCATATTTCTACACATACGTAAAAAACTGGACTCGGATCGGACTCTTCACACTGAATCTGATCCGACTCCTATTAGGACTCGAACTTTTTTATCGGTTTCGGATTCAAATTTTTTCTATTTTCCTTCGAATCGAATCGGACTCGTATAGAATTTGGATTAGATTGCCATCCCTACTTTAGCCCCATAATTGAACTTTTATTTTCTATACTTTCCTTGGATTGAATCTTTCTTATTAGAATTTGTTCTCTTCAACCTATTTCAGGAACCTATTACTTTATTTTGTCAAAATCAAATGAGATCTGATTAGACTAGACTCAGATTAAATCAATCTTGTATCCGTTTACTTACTAACAAATATCTATAAAATCATATTTATATAAAAAAAATATGAAAATAAGGTACATAATTGGAAAATAGACTTCGAGATGAATTGAAGGAGTTCTCACTTGATAATACATTAGTGTAATAATACGGGTCAAAGTTTGGTCAAACCAGCACATCAGACTACCAAACTAATTTAGGAATATTTGGACAAAGGCCTTGTTTGGGGAGGTGCTTTTTGGAGGGTCTATTAGAGTTGTGATCAATCAGAAAAAGCTAATTTGGAAGTTTGGTAAACACCTTATTAAAAAAGTTTTTAGGCTCAATAGCTCTTCTTGAAAAAGCTCATAATAAGAGCTCTTTGAAATAAGCTTATCGAATATTTAGATTTTTGGCTATTACATATACTTAAACAACTAACAATTAACATCTACTTACAACACTTTTACACAACCAACTAGTCAAACTAATTAATACAATCAACTAGTCAAACTCTAATTGCCTAATAGTAACAACTACTTCCTTCGTTTCTTTATAGTTGCAAAACTTTCCTAAAATGGAAATGTCACAATAGTTGCAACACACTATAAAAGGAAGGTTTTTATGGTGAAAATGATGGTACTATTACCTTTATTTAAAGCTCATGGCCCACTTAATTATACTCCTAACGACCTCTTAACCCCATTTTAATTGTATTATATATTTATATCATAAGAGGTCCACTTTTCTTAAACACTGTGATAAAGTGTGGTTGCAACTATAAAGAAACGGAGGACGTATCTACTAACTCCCAAACAAGGCCTTAATTAAAGTAGACTTGAACACCTTATTTCAGGTGAAGAGAACAAGTTCTTAGTTCTACATACAAATTGATTAGAACCCCTTTAGACATTTGTTAAAATCATGCCAAATTGAACATTTAAATATGGTGGAACCTAAATACGTGAACATCCATATTCTTGATTCATGAAACTACTGAGATTTTGTTCTCTCTTTGTCTATGAAGTCTGTTCATTTCTCTTTGGAGTCTTTATAACAATTTTTTTTCCCTCTCTTCTCTAATCTCATTGGAATTTGTTTACTATAGAGAACTTTTACTAAATCTTTGATGGATATGTGCATATGTCCTCTTGGCTATATTCCTTGCCCTTTTCTTTTGCACCTTCCATATCTTTAATTGCCACTTTGAATTTCGCTTGTATTTATCATAAGCTCCTTTCCAATATATTACCTGCCTACCTTACGAGTTAGAACATGAGACTTCAATGACACGCTGATTTGTTTTTCAAAGTAGGCGAATCCTACTGGATTCTTTGGAATTAATATACTTCTTATCTTGTGTTCTGTTTATTCCTCAATGTACTTCCATCGTTATCTTTTTACTTGCAACATTTCTATAGTGTACACTGTTTACATACTTCACTTTAGTTACATTTTGTGATTTGTAGTTAAAGGAAAACATAGTCAAATGAGATCTTGTTAGATATGTCTCAATGTTTACTTTATTAAAAATTATTTTTTTATCATTTTTACTCATGCATAATATAAGAGATTAATGGTTGAAATCATGCATTGGTAAACTTGAAAAAACAGAAATGTTGCAAGTAAAAAAAAAAAAAAACGGAGGATGTATATGTTTATGGTTGCAACCCTAGTGTTTATTGTCCCTATGGGTGATGCAATCTATAGTTGGGAAGTATGCTTACAAGGCCTCTTGAGTTGGATTTTAGGAAAATAAATAGGACGCTTAAACTTTGAAATTGTCAAATACTCGTATGTGTTGTTACTTTATAGTCATGGTTTCCAATACTTATGTTATGCTGTTTGATTCTGTGGTAATGCTCTTTTTCATTCATCATTCACTCAGTGTTTACTCTGGGACTGTAGCCGGGGCTCGAGAAGCATTCTTCAACAATATACCAGCAATATCTCTGTCATATGATTGGTATGTATCTAAAATATTATTATCTTATATTTTTTGGTTAGTGAAAATCTTTTAAATGCCAACATAGATGGGTTTTATCAATGGTATGAGCCTTAATTCCTCAAGTTGGCAATATTTTATGGTTTAATATTCCACTTTCAACATGCACATGTATGCTGATTATATTAGTAGGCAAGTATTCTGTATTCTAGAGTTATAAATTCCCGTTGATTACATGCCTAAGACATCTTAAGCTACCTCAGTTTGCTGAGATAGAAGTGTAAAACTGCATGGAAACTAGAGTATGAGGACACACCAATAAAGTCCTAAAATATCCTTACATTCAGTCCTGCTGATTTTCTGTTCGTAACAAACTCAACTCTGTCCTTAAAGAAAAAAAAGTAGGGGGAGAAGCTTTCAGATACTCTGCTCTGTGAGTTAAACAATAAATTGCTGCCATCCAGATACCATTTGTAGACAATTAGGGACTCATTTGTTTTGGGCATTTGAAAATCAAACCCAAATTATCCTATGATCATGGACAATGAGAATCCTTTCTTTAACATCCTTTGTTTAAATAGGCTGCACTGGTTTTTAGTTTCTTCTTCTTTACAGTGAAACAAGTTACTTACAAGCAGCTAACATTTTATGAGGAAGCATACTCGGAGAAGGTCCAAGTAGGATATAGTGTAGGGTGTACATTATCATTTCTTGATGTTACATGCATGCATCATTACTTAAGGATGTAGCAAACTAGTTATGTACTGACGGTGTTGATTGCCATTCTAATTTTCTAGGGTTGGAGGTGTGAGCAATATTGATGACTATGGTCTAGCTGCTGAAGCATGTCTACCTATCATAAATGCAGTGCTAGCTGAGATTAAAAATAAAACCTATCCACAAAGATGCTTTTTAAATATAGACCTGCCAACAAATATTCGGAGTCACAAGGTACTTCCTGCATCTTATTAGGCTATCTGACATAACATGGTTAGGGAGAAATAGATGTCCTACTTATAGGATCTCTTCATATCTTGTTTTTCCATTTATTATATTTCCTTGAATATCTGATCAATTATTTAATCATTAACTTTTTATGGATAATCTGAATCTGGTAAAAAGAGAGGATAACTATGTAGGACTTTCCATATGTTTTTCAAGCATTTATTTTTCTTGCCTCTGATTAGCTGTTGCATTTAACTTCCTCTTATGGTTGTGCATGCTTTTACGGAGGGTCACCATTTCTTCCCAATATGTTAGTGTGCCATATCAGAAGAAATGGATCTTTTTTTCTATGTGTATAATGAAGGATTTACTCTACATCTGGGGTCAAATCTGGGAGGTTCTTTCCCTGTATTGTAGCTATACCAATTATCAAACTATTACCATTTTTTTCCTTCATTTAGAAATCACATAGACTTTTTACAATTCCCCTACCTCCCTTCCCCCGGGCCTGACCATGTTTTGGGGAATCATCATGTTTATTCTGTTGATTTGCGTGAAACTGATTAGTGAGCATCTCCTACTTCTAGTGGTTGAAAAACCTGTCTGCCTTAATTATCTCCTTTTTTCTTTTTTCTTGTTTAATTTAGTAGTACCATCTGCTTGGAAGTACTTTTCCATATTATCATCACTCAAATTGGTTACACTGGGATTTCCGAAACAATTCTTATTAGTCTGGAACTTTTGGGGTGATCCTGCATTTCTGTTCTTCAGAACTTGTAAATGATCGGGGATCAATATTGGTCATAGACTCAGAGCAATTGTTGCATTAGCTTGATAGTGGCTTGCCAGTTATTCCTATACACTTCTGCCATCCTATATTTGATGTCAAATGTCGTTCATTATTAACTTCAAGACTCAGAAACTCAATTCTTAAAATGCCGTTACATCTTTTATTGATATCTTGATTATAGGCTTTACAGCTTTTTATGAGGATCTGAACTTGCCCATTAAGTTTGATGATTAAATATATTGTCATTGCTGTGGCAGGGTTACAGATTGACAACCCAGGGTAAAAGTATCTTCAAAATGGGATGGAAGCAAATTACATCCACTGCCCAAGGAAAAATGTTGTCAACAATGGAGATGGATATGGACTCATCAGAGTCTCTGGATGTCAAATCATCAACAGTGTCTCAAGGCCAACAATTTTTTAGGAGAGTGGTATGTTTATCTTCCTTTATTATCTTCAATGAGACAACCCTTACCTTATTTTTGGTTCACACATAAGAGCACCAGGGTTTGAATTTAAAGCATCAACTATTTCTGCCATTTGCTAAAAATGATGAAAAAATGGGTCTCTTAATGTAAGTTGTGACCACTAAGTACATCATGCAATATACTTCCCCGATTATTTTGGTGATTAATATAAGCTGAACTCATTGGCCTTATTGAGTCGGTGAGACTGGATATGTATTGTAAACCAGTGTTCGAAGATGTGGTATCAATCACATTCACGTTAATGGTCACAATGTCATGGAAACAGAAATGATATGCTCATATCATCTTAGGTCACATCTGACATGGCACAACTTTGATTGTAAATCTATTTTGTTTTTTTTAATTTTTAATTTTTAATTTTTAATTTTTTTAATTATATAGTTTCACGATCTCATCTTTTGATTAACTAGAAATAGTACCAACTTATGGTTCCAACATAACAAATAACTTTTGATATATAGTTCATGTGAGAAGAACCATGCTTATGATGGGAACCACAAAAGGTATATGCAATAAAACTAAAAAGTACATCAAATTTTTATTTATTTATTTATTTATTTTTTTTATGTATCTTATAACTTCATCACATGTACTTTATTTATTTATTTATTTTTTTCTTTCGGGCATATACCTTATAGATATATGAAATCTACCTTAAAAGTTTGCAAAAACAAACTTTATTTAAAAAAATTTCTGCTCTTTATTATTTATTTTTTTATTTTTTTGCTTAATGTGGTGTACCATACAGTTTTAAGACATGGACTTTTTATATCTTATAAGTATATACCTTATAAGTTATAACTATACGACACATACCTTAAAATTTTGCAAAATAAAATAAAAAATTATTAACGAAATTTTAGTGTTTTGTTTTATTTATTTATTTTACTTAATGTGATGTACTTTATAATTTTAAGGCATATACCTTATACACGTACCTTAAAATTTTGTTAAAAAAAAAACACCAACTTTTAATTTTTTATTATTAATTTTTTTTTTTAAAAAATAAATTAATTTGGTTATGTTCTTTATACATATAGGGTATGTACATTATACCTTTCGAGCATGTACCTTATACTTGTAGGACATGTGCCTTATATGTATAAGACGTGTACCTTAATACTTCAATAAAAGAAATTAATTTTATGTTGAAAATATTTCCAAAAAATTATTGTAATTTTTTTAAATTTTTTTTTAATATTTTTATCATGTACCTTATATCTATGCACCATGTACCTTATGTGGTTTATGTCATAAAACCTCCTTTTTCCCTCCTTATACAATTTAGGGCGTACGATCATGCAAACCAGAACGTATGGTTTTGCTATCTAGATTTGGTTAAGCAAGTTGCATTATTCTCATAATTGCACCCATGCAGAATTGCCGGTAGGAATTTTCATGATCCTTGGAATTTGGAATTTCCCATAGGATCTTTAGGATTGTCCATGATCGATATAATCCTATGACAATTTTAACAATCTGTTAGAATGTCTCTATAAGGGCCTGATGATGCGATTTTTGAACAAGGCTGTCATTTGGATCCTAAAGCAAATATTTCAGTCATGGACTATTCAGAAAAGTAGTTAAGAGCTTAATTTTTATTTTTTTTTTTTTTTTTTTTTTTTTTTTTTTTTTTTTTTTTTTGTACGAGTTAAGAGCTTAATTTGTAAGTGTTACTTTCCAAAAAAAAAAATGAATAAACACTTGGTGTAATTAAGTAAGATCTAATCTTGAGTGGCTGAGTGCCCTATCCTATACAAAGTAAAATATTTTTTTGTGATTACTTTTCCATTGATACTTCTCCAAAATCCCAACCCCCTACACCATACCCGCAAACCTCTCCTACTTTCTCTTTCTTGCCATCGTTTTCCACTACAAACCACACCCAGTAATTATGTCACATTTTCAGCCCAAAAACTACTACCAATCCTAGTTTCAATTGTCACTATAAAGAATAAGTGGCACACATTACAATTATACATATACTTCCGTTTAAAATACTTGCATCGCTTGCCTTGTTCGGAAATGTCATATACAAGTTGCAACATTGTAAGAATAATTCTTCATTTTTAACTATATAATACATACTTGCTCATATTCTACTGACTTAATTTTATATAGTTACCCACTCTTAAATTTACCCATTCCTATAACTCCACCTCTCTTTCTCTCCTCAATTATCCCTAAAACCTAAACCACCGTGCCCATGACCCGCCACCACTTAACCTCGTCACACTCAGCAAAACCACCATCTAATCTCATCACCCTCACTAAAACCACCATTATTCACATTCACCATCACCCATCCTCCCTAATTCACCAAAACCACCAAGGAACCTTACCACTCTCATTGAAGCCACCATATATTAGCGGACAAAATGGCCTGTGGACTATGGTCATTGGATTTGGTCAGAGGTTCCAAATTTTGAAACCGCCATGGGCAAATCTAACCATTATGATGTCGATCTTGTGAAAGGAAGACCGAAGACTAGCAGATTATGATGGCGAAAATTTCTCTATGATGTTAATAGAAGTGGTGGTTCTAATTTTTGTGGGGTTGTAGGGTGAAGGTTAGGGTAGGGCTCCCCTTGGCCCTTTCATTTCTATCTATAATTTTAACTCCTGAGCTTTATATATACTTTTGTGTTCTTACTCTATCTTTAAGTGGTTGTGGTGGGTTAAGGTAGTGTTAGTATAGGAAGTGGGGGAGTAGGAGAGGTGATGTAGGTGGAAGATAAAGATCGGGTTTGTTGAGGAGAGAGATCAGGGGCGTCAGCGTCGGCATCGGGGTTGGGGTTGGGTGTTGTGGGAGCTAGTTGTGTACCAGGTAAGAGGTGACGTTGTGACGGTGGTAAAAATGGTACAGTTCATGGTGTTGGATATTTTGAAGAGGGATGAAAAGAATAATGAACGGAAGCTGCAGAACGAAAACTCAAACTTATAACTCAATATTTTCTCTATTATGAAATTAACTTACATAATGCAATTAAATAGAAAGAAACCTAACTAATAGGTCCTATAGTTTAGGAACACAAACCCACTAACATTACTCCACTAACCCAATGATATTTGACCACCAATAGTTTCGTTTAACACTTTACTAACCTATTGACTACTAACTGATTTCCTAAATAATAGTACCAAGCTTTGACTAATCTACTCACTACATTATTTTCACTAAGAAACTAATATCCCTAACAATAAGATATTGCAACTAACGTATCTTTGAAGCACAGCACCAACACACCCCCTTGCTTCAAATCCACATGCAACTTCCTAACTTCTATGACCATATTGCAACGACGGACTTCGACTTGAACTCGACACGCTTTAATTCTCAACACTCACCCGACTTTCATGACACAACCACGACACTAGATTTTAGAAGAGCCTAGTCTCTTCCTCTTCAACCTTTTGAGCATAGTTAGATTGTTCACCTTGCTCATCTTTTTGCTTATCCCAACATCGGTCTTCTTTGTTACCATACCTCTTGCAATAGTAGCATTGTATACTACCCATAGACTTTCGTTGTCCTTCGAATCGACCACGACCACCACTTTCTTCACGAGCTCTCGACCACGACCATGACCATCTCGACCATGACCTCCGCAATGCCCATTCAACATTTGCCCTTTAACTTGAAAGGCTTTCTCCTCGAAACTTTCCTCCGTAAACTTATCCATCCTCTCTTCATGAGCCATCAAGGATTTCATCAACTCATTAAATGTATATGTTGATAAGTCCTTAGACTCCAAAATTACAGTAATAACATGTTTATAATCTTTCATTTTGTGAAGGCTTCTCAATACCTTACTAACAATAGTCTCATTAGTAATGGTATCATCATAAGTTTTCATTTGACTAACAATTCCAGATACTCTAGACAAGAAACTTTGGATAGTTTCTTTATCTTGCATTGCATGCTCTCAAAGCTACTATGTAGAGTTTGCAATTTAACGGCAATCACCTTCTTATCACCGAAATAATCTTGCTTTAAAATTTCCCATGCTTGGTTGGATGTTGGCGCAGCGGAAATTCGTGGAAAAATCTCATCATCGAATGCCGATTCGATAAACAATAGAGCCTTTGCATCTTTCTTACGATTTTCCCGTAAATGTTGATCGGGAATAGCCGGTACTGGGTTGGCTCATCATAATCGTATTCCACCAAATCCCATATGAGACTTGAATAAAGTCTTCATTTGGGACTCCATATGTGATAATTCTTGCCCTTAAAAGTTGGATTTAAGGGTTGCGACGACGAGTTTAGACCACCATTTGTCATGCTTACTCACACACAAAACTTACGTGAAAAATACTACGACAAGCACTAATGAAACAAGACGATGTTCCTTGTTTCACTCACGTCTCTCTCTATCTCTTTTTTTTTTTTTTTTTTTTTTTTTTTTTTTTTTTTGTAATGTGTTTTTGTCTTAGGATCGAACCTGGATTAGCTCGAATACCATGTTGGATATTTTAAAGAGGGATGAAAAGAATATTGCACGGAAGCTGTAGAACTCAAACTCAAACTTATAACTCAATATTTTCTCTATTATGAAATCAACTTACATAATGCATTTAAATAGAAAGAAACCTAACTAATAGGTCTTATAGTTTAGGAACACAAACCCACTAACATTACTCCACTAACCCTATGATATTTGACCACCAATAGTTTCGTTCAACACATTACTAACCTACTGACTACTAACTGATTTCCTAATTAATTTTACCAAGCTTTGACTAATCTACTCACTACATTATTTCAACTAAGAAACTAATATTCCTAACAATAAGATATAGCAACTAACGTATCTTTGAAGCACAACACCAACACATGGGTGTTGTTGATGTGACAGTGTAGTGATTGAGGGTTTTCATGTAAGGCGGTGATGGTAATGAGTGCTTGGTAAGAAGGTGAAGGGTAGGTGCCAAGTGGGGTGGTGAGGTGGTTTGGTGGGGATGAGGTTATTAGGTTGATAACTTAAGTGGTTCTATATGCCCCTTTCATCTTCTTTTTGTTTTCTTAAAGTCTGTTCCTTAGCGTCACGGTCCGAGTATTTTGATACTGGATCCGTGCGGCACTATCTCGGCCACGGGAGATGAAGGTGCTAACCAAGTGTTTGGAATGGCTTGTGGCACGAAGTAACACAAGTAGGATAGGCGTCTATGGGACACTCTTGGCGACAAGGGTCGTTTGGGGCTTGTGGCGGCTGAATGAATATAAAGAGCCTCAAGTGGATCCGATTACAAGTTGTTTCGTTTGGAGGTTCTCTAGGGGGGCTGCTTTGATATTTGCGAGGCACTAGTATAAAGAGCCTTAAATAAAACACAAGATTCAAAGCAAATGGTAGGAACCCAGGATTTTATTAAACACTTGCTTCCTGGAGAGCTTTATTTTGCAAGCATAGTACTTCCCAGTTCCCATCAGATGTTGGATTGACTGAAACACAATAATTCTAAATAATGCATAGCATACTTATAGGAAACTCCTAGAAAGCATACATAAGGAAAATACATAGAAAAGAAAGAAATTACTAAGACTATGTTTCTATGTTACCACTTACCAGTATAAGCAATGGGAGTATATTTAACAAACTATGTAATCATTGTTGGGAATGATATCTCATCCACTATTGAATTATGTGAATATCTGATGAGTAGATTTATAACATGCACTAAATTTTGTCAGAAGTGCTCTCTTATTAATAGCGAGTTCTATGAATGATTATTGACTCAACATCTCATTGTTTACATTGCATCAATAGATTTGTGGGTTTTTGAAGAGTGTCACTAATAGATTGTGTACAAAGATAGCAATTTGGTGGTAGACAACCATAATTTCATAAGGAGAAAATCACGTGTAGAATATTATAAGAGAAATCTGTAATGAACTAATGTAGGGGGGAGGAGCATATTAGGTAGTGTCTTGAAGAGGAAGACGAGTAAAATGAGTTAAGAGCAATACTTTATACGAGAAGATTAGGAAGGGATCAGTGTGTGAAATATTGATCTAGTATTTTTGGTTAGCTTACTAAGCTAAATTGGGAGAGAATCCAAATCTTGAAATTAAACCATCTTTTACATTGGCCATAATTTCCTCTTAATAAAAATCATCTTCCTCTTCCCATTTTTTGCTGTTAATAATGCTCAAGCTAAGTTAATTCTTAGCAATTGGTGTTAGAGAATAGGAGTGACAATCAAAACCTTATTTCTTAGCTTTTTGAGTGACGATCAAAACTTTATTTCTTAGCTTTCCTGCAAAAGGGGAGAATCCTTATTTGCCGAGGATAAAACAACTTAGCTGAAGTATAGAATACACATATGACATATCATCACAACATCCGAAAACAAGTAAAGATCTAGCAAACATCATTTTCTTCTCTGAATGCACATATTGTAGAATACCTCAACAAAACACATTAATAGTGTATCCTTGCTATTCTTCTTTCTTGTGGATTTCACTAGGCCTGTACAAACTATCACAGAATCCGAGAATTCGATCCTTAACTGACGATTTTTTTGATATTTGATTTGAGTTTTCAATTCTGATTGAAAATCTAATCCGAAGAAGTAGATATCGGATGCGGATTTGGATATTGGGCTTTAAAATTTCGGATATCCGATATCCGAAATATAAAGGCTGAAATAGTGAAATATTTTTAAAAAATTTAAAATGTCCATATGAAACTGACCGCGTGTTATTAAGTTATTATAGTATTCTTAATATATTTGATGTTAATTTTATTGGAAAAGACTACTATTTTGTTAAAATATGTTGTACAACTTAGCGATAAAAAGGGATAAAATCATTGTAATTTAGAAAATAATCATAGTCAATTACTAATATCCGAATCATCCAATCCGAATAATTTCGGATATCGGATAACCGAAATTTTCGGATCGAATTCGGATATCGATTTCTAATACTCAGATATCCGAACCGGTTCGGATATCTGATCCGTGAACAAGCCACTTTTCAATTCCAACTAACCTTCCTCGGGAACAGCAAGAACCGGCCTAGAGCTCTTAAACTGATCCATTATTCTCCCTACTCCCATTTGACAATTTGAGTACACACGCCTAAAAAACGGTGCTCATATGTTTCAGGAGCAGAGCCACACAACACACATGATGGATTTATCAGATCATGTTGCTGTAAAAGCCTAATCTTACTAGCAAGTCTGTATTGAACTGCTAACCAAGCTACTAATATGCTTTTAGGGCTAGCCATGCTGTTGCAAATCAATCTTTTCCTAGGGACCTTACTAAACCTACCCCTTGTATGTATGGGCGACGCTTTTCCTTTAAAATAATTGTGAACTTATTTCCTGAAAAAGGATAGTGTGCAATGTTTTTTTCTGGAAATTATGATTCATTTTGTATTAGAAATGAAGATAGTAGAAGGAATGTTGGAGTTGTGGACATTGAGGATAATATAAGACAAAACCAATTGCGTTGGTTTGGGCATGTCTGGTGGAGATCAGAAGACACACTTCTAAGGAAAGTAGAGGGTTGAGGGTTTCCCGAAGGAGTTAAGAAAAAGAGCATATAACATTGGACAAAATGGAATTGAAGGAGAGGATTATGGTTGGTGAGTGTATGAGATAAAAGTTAGGTTCATGTAGCTGACCCCATAATTGGGATTAAGGATTCGATTGCTGTTGTTTTTGTCAAACACTAGATTTTTAAAATTTGTTTCTCTGCCCTTTTCAATTATTTCTTTGCAGAGGTCTGTTGCTTGCATACATCTTTATATTCATCACTTTTGTTGCCTTAAATCATCTATTGAATATATGGAGTTCTAATTTTTCCATGCATACATCTTTATATTTATCACTTTTATTGCCTTAAATCATCTATTGAGCATTTGGAGTTTTATTCATGCATACATCTTTATATTCATCACTTTAATTGCCTTAAAATCATCTATTGAACATTTGGTGTTTATATATCCTGCTAAATGGACATTTTATCTCACAGGCGATAGAACACTCAATTGAAGATACTGATATTGATACCCGATCTCTCCAAGAAGGATATGTAAGCAATTCCTTTAATGTGCTATTTTTATTTCCGTGCATAGCTGCATTGTCTGCACTAATGCATATGCATGTATATTCAGATATCAGTTACCCCTCTGGGTGGAATCTCGCCTGCTGAGGCAGAATGTCAGGAATTCTTCAAAGGTTGGCTTCCTGGTGTCATGGAGCGCTCTTTTTCAGCCTCAGCCTTGTGATTAGGGAGTTCCATATAACTTCTCAAAAACTAGTCATTCATTAATTTCATAAATATTCTTTACTCCGATTTATATGGAGTTATAATATCTTGTTGAGATCTTGACTTTCACAGTAGATTGCTCTTCAACTACTCCGTATATGATAGTGTCGTGTCTAAAAAATGCTTTCATGATGAAATCTACCGTCAAAGTGAATACCTCCAAAAAGTCAATCATCACTTCATAAAATCGGGAGTATGAATTAAAATTTACATATCCCTGTTGTGTTTAGGTAGCTTAATTTTGTATATTCTTAGTGTTCTTCGACTCTCTGGCTGAAAGGCCTGACATAAGCATAATATTTGCTTGATTTTCAAAAACAATAAAATTATGTCCCTTTTTAATGTAAATTATCTTTCGCTTTTTCCTATAACTAGACTTGGTTATTGGATAGGGTAGCCTAATGATAATAGGGTTATGATCAAGCTTATAAGGCCTGTAATGGACAGGGTTTGTAATGGACAGAGCCCTTATTGGGTAGGGTCAATATATGACCAAATGTTTGTCCAATTTAATACATAAAGAAAAGAAATAATGTAAAACAACTTACATACATATTTTTATATTCATATGTACTTAATTATGGCTTTGTCCAATATTTATTTTAATTGATAATTTGTTGACCCACCCATTATCGACCCGCGACCCGCGACCCGCATTCACCTGACTTGCTATTGGCCCATAAAATGTGACTCTCTTTGATCCGACTTGCAATCGACCAGCACTGACCCCTGACTCTGACACCGCCCAATAACTAGGTCTATAACTACTTCAGCATTCCTTATTATCATAACTCCTTGACTAGAAGAACGACTCTTCTTTCGTCCTTTGTTCATTTGTTACATTTACCTTATTTTCACTTCTTTTCGTTAAATATATTTAGATTAGTTTAGATAAGGATTAGTAAGTTCATATAGACTTATGCAAGTTCAAATTACAGCTTGAATAAGTTCAAGAAAGAATTGCTCGATTTTAATTTTCAGTTATAACAAGTTCCAAAACTCAGGATGTATAAAAAAACACCTAATGTATATACTTCCTTTTTTTTTTCCTAAACTTTTGCATATCATGGATAGCATGTTATTTCCCATTAAATACTTTAAAAGTCTAAAAGAATGTACTGCGTAATACAACTGTACAAGTTAATAAATTGATTGCACGTTATTAACATGTACTTAATAGAAATTTAGAATAATATTTTTGTAACATAACCTTTTTTTTTTTTTTTTTTTTTCCACGGTAAGGTCAACTGAGGCTCCTATCAAAGGAAGTCTGGCTAGCAATGTCCGAAGGGGGTAGAGGGATGAGATTTGTGCCTGATGAGAATCGAACCTCGTACCTCAAGGATGCAAGACGACCTCTGGACCACTGCTCCAAGAGGTTTTCTCATAACATGCTTTTTCTTTGCTCTAAGAGTTTTGATGACATTAATTTATGAATTAATATGATATTTACACTTGTAATTTGTCCATCCGAAAAGCTACAAACAACTTTATGTTGTTCATTCAGCGCCTTTTTAGTGTAGCAGGTCACACCGTGTGGCCAGCTGCCAACTCAGCAAAAATAACGGGATTTGCTTTCACGCGCTTTTCTTTCCAAAAAAAAAAAATACATTGAAATAACAGATAATGAAACAAAATTCGGAGCTGACACACCTATTAAAAAAGCCACTAACTCATCACTTCCTATAAAAGCGCACTGATATACTACTCTTAAAAAGCATTAACACACTACTTTCTTAAAAAGTGTACTCTTAAATAACACACTAACACACCAAATTATTAAAAAAGACATTGACCTACACCCCAAAAGTTAATAAAAAAATGCTCTGACACACTACATTAATTGCACAAAAGCACCCACTTTCCTCATTAATTTCACGAATCACTCACAAATTTCTCAACTAAAATGAATTACAAATATTCCATGTATAATAACCCCTATATTACTAAGTAATCCTTGTATTATTAACAAAGTAACCCCTATATGACTAATTAAGTAATCCTTGTATCATTAACTAAATAATCTTTATATCACTAAGTAACCCATGTATCATTAATCAAGTAACCCCTATATCATTAATTAAGTAACCCTTGTATTAGTAACTAAATAATCCTTTTATCGCTAACCAAGTAACCCTTATAAAACACAAGTAACCCTTATAAAAACACAAGTAACCCCATTATCACTAAGTAAGTAATCTCTGTATCACTAAGTAACTCAATATCACTTATCAAGTAACCCCTATAAAAAACCAACTAACCCCATTATCACTAATCAAGTAACCTCAGTATCACTAAGTACCTATCATGACTTTTTAAGTAACCCCTATATATATATATATATATATATATATATATATATATATATATATATATATATATATATATATATATATATATATATATATATATATTATATATATATATATATATATATATATATAGCTTATCAAGTCACCCCTATAAGTAACTCCAATATAACTTATCAAGTAACCCCTATAAGTAACACTAATATTATTTATCAAGTAACCCCTATAAAAAACCAAGTAACCCCATTATCACTTACCAAGTAACCTCTTTCTCACTAAGTAACTCAATATTACTTATCAAGTAACCCCTATATAACTTATCAAGTAACCCTATAACTCTAAAAGTAACCCCAATATAACTTATTAATTAAGTAAACCTAATATAACTTATTAATTAAGTAACCCCAATATAACTTATTAAGTAACCCTTATTAACTTATTAAGTAACCCCAATATAACTTATTAATTAAGTAACCCCAATATAACTTATCAAGTAACCCCTATAAGAACCCCCAATATTACTAAGTAATTAACCTTTATAAGTAACCCCAATATTACTAACCAAGCAACCCCTATAAGTAACCCTAATATTACTGACCAATCAAGTAACTCCTACATATAACCCCACTATTACTAAGTAACCTTACTATTACTGATCATCAAGTAACCCCATAAATACTAAGTAATTTAACCTCTGTATTACTTAGTAGGTAACTCCATTATAACTTTACAAGTAACTCCATTAGTAAATAAATAACCCCTATATTACTAACAAGCAACCTATTACTTCATTTTTACTAACAAGTAACCCCATTTTTATTAATTAACAAGTAATCCTTATATTTAGTCATAGTGCAACAAAGAACATTTTTTTTTTTAATAAACGAAGAACAAGAATTTAGAGGAGAGAGAATTGTAGAAAAATGCAATGGAGGAGAGAGAGATTCAGAACACAAAATGGCGGAAGCTTGAATTTCAACAAAGATTCGTGAATATATATGAGTACCAACCCCTACGAAATAGTAACCCCATATGAAATACACTTATAACAAAACACATATAACTCGTACAAATATAGAGAATTTAGAGGAGAGGGAATAAAAGAAAAGTATAGAAGATAGAATAAAAGAAAATTGCAGGAGAGATTACAAATAGAAATTGCAGGAGGAGAGAGAATAAATAGAGAGAACAAAGAGAGAGAAAAAGTAAAGAAAACTGGAGCAAAATTAAATGGAAATAACAAGTCTCTGATTACGTAATGGCAGTTTGGGGAAAAGAAGAAGGAAAGTGGAAAGTTCAAATAAAACGGTTGAAAATCTAAAATAACAGGAAATGTAATGGATATGTTATTTTTTAGCTGGGGTCCGTAATTTATTGGGCCTGAAACGCGATGGGCCTTATAGTGTGGCTAGCTGCATACAAAAAATTTTGTGTATTCATTTAATAATAAAAATAAAATTGAAACCGGTGTCTTTTAATTTTAATGGACAAAGTGATTGACACCTATGATGCACGGACACGCCTGCCAAGTGGCGTGTCCGAGTCGACACGCGTGTCGGACACGGACACGCGTGGGACACGGGGGGATATGTCTTGGACACGCGAAAATCCGTGTCCGTTTTTTTTTTGAATTTCTTCTGTACGGACACGGGCCGTATCTCACCCAGACACGGTCCGTTTTGTGATGGACACGCAATTACGGCTTTACAAGCCCAACTTCCTCCATTCTCTCTGACTCTCTCACATTCTCAATTCCTCCATTCACAATTCACAAACCTACTGCCTTACTCAAGCTCCCTGAGTCCCAGACCGTCAGCCACTCACCGTCGCGCCGATAACCGCCGTCGCTTCACCTGCTGCTGCTGGTCCAGACCGTCACTCAGTTCACCGTCGCTTCGTCGCCTACAGCCTACTCTCACAGAGACACAGACTTCACTCGCCGCTGGTTGTTCGTCCTCAGCCACCACCCCAGTGTCGCCAGCCACCAGTCCACCAAACCACCACCAGGTAACTCGCTCAACCTAGGTTTCAGGCCGTGGCTTGACTGGCTTCTGTACTTTGTTTTTTTTAAATTCAATTAATTCAGTCGCTAACTCGCTCAACCTAGGTTTCAGGCTGTCGTTGTTCGTCCTCAGCCACCAGTCCACCACCCAGTACCGTCCGTCGCCACTCGCCAGCCACCAGGCCACCACCAGGTAAGGGTTATGTGACTTCTGTCTTCTGTACTTTGTTTTCTGAAATTCAATTGCTGAATGCTGATGTTAATTGTGAGGTGGAGCCGTGGAGGCAGTATCACTGTAATTCGCAATTGTTAATTGTTAAATGTGATGTTAATTGTTAATTGTGATGTTAATTGTGAGATGGGTTCAGCTGTCAAATTGTATTGTGCCCTGGTTGCTGAAATTGTATTGTATTGTTGACTCGCTGACTTGCTGGTTGCTGAAATTGTATTGCTGAGTTGCTGACTTGCTGGTTGCTGAAATTGTATTGCTGACTTGCTGGTTGCTGAAATTGTATTGTTGTGTTGCTCACTTTGCTGTGTTGTCTTGCTGAAATGTGCTGTTGTGTTGCTGAAATTGTCAGGAATGTCTTCTAGTTCCTCTGCTTCATGCAATGTCAGTGGTAGTAGTAATTCATCTGAGTCAATGAAAGACCTCTACCCTTTGTGGAAGTTTGTTGTTAAGGGTGATAAAATATCGGGTGGTGGAGGAAATTATAATTGGAAATGTAACTTTTGCGGCGAAGTTAAAAATGGTTCATACACTAGAGTGAAAGCTCATTTGCTAGGTGAACAAGGGAAAGGGATTCAAACTTGTAATAAAGTGAAAATTGATGACCTTGCTAAACTAAGATCGCTTCATCGTGAATCCGAGGATTATAAAAAATCTTTGTTACCAAAAAATCGTGAATAGGTTGTCAAATTCTCGTTTTTTTGATATATTATATGCCTTGTTATATGCCGTACCCGTGTCCCCTATTTCAGGATTGCCGTTTTCCCGTGTCCGTATCGTGTCCGTGTCCGTGTCCATGTCGGTATCCGTGCAACATAGATTGACACTGCAGTTTGATAATGAGCTATACACGTTCTTCAATGAAATCTAATTTTCAGAATCAAAGGCAAAGGAAACAGAGCACCGATTAGGTTTTTCCGAGAACCGACCTCCCACCTACTCGCATCTCCCTTCACTGCCGGGACCAGTCACGGAAAG